CCTGGAGTTCTCTAATACCAATTGTGATACCCCCAGATTTTCAAATGCGGGTTGGCCAGGCCCACGCCCAAATACTCGAGGATATCAAAAACAAATCGGAAATAATCAAACACAGAATACAAATATGATCAATAAGAATAAATAAAATGCTGAAAAGAGACTAAAATGATAATCCAATAATTCCTCAGAATAAATTTTCATTAATTAATAAACTCTTCTAATATAACTAATCCTCCAATATAACTCGGGAATTCATACTGTGTGGACTCCTAGAAAATCACAACTAAATAAGTAACCATAAAGATTGTTTACATCTAAAAGATGAAACATAAATGAATCTCCTAAGTAGACTCGGAAGAGTGAAGTAGACTGATCACTGCTCAGCACGAACAATCCTTTTCACCTGAACTGAAAAATAATGGTGGGTCAGGCCCACAAATAAGTTCTGCTCTACTACAATCCAAGCAAAGATCCGATACACGTATACATCCTAGTCAATCCAACAATAACTAGTAGTCCGTACATATATATATATAAATACACACTAAAGGAACCTTACTAGACTATAAGGTTGCCTCAACCTGAATAGTATGCAACATGCAAAACGCACATATAATGGGCATGAGTACCTAAACCTACCAGGGTACACAACTACACTATATCTAACTATACATCACTGGCAATATACACGCCCTAACCACTGATCCTGAAACTCAAACTCATATCATGGCACCATAATTATATATATATAATCTAGTAACCATCCTATCCAGTATAAAGTAATCCTCTACAAGTAATCCTCTATAAGTCATTTAACTTGCTCAGCTGACTTGAATATAAGGAAGACTTAACATTTTAGTTAATCCATTCCCTTATACAAAATAGGTAGGACTTAACTGATAAGTTAATCCGTCCCTAGAGTGCCACTATACCATATTGGTGCACTACATCCACACAATCCAATAATCGATGTAACAAATAAAATAATACATCAACTAATCCAAAAATTTAACATAATAATAGAATATCATGCTATCACAAAATAAGAATAACTTATAAATTTCTTTAAGCTTCCTACATCATGTATTCTACACAAACTGGATCTTAAACATGCTGATATTTATTTACAGTCAAGTAAGCATTCTCCAATTTCAATTCATGCTGAATATTTAAACTCAATTACTAGAACAGTTTAAAAGATTAAATCCATTCATTTGTTTAAAACATTCAAATAACATACATCGTTATGATCAAGTCTATTTAAAATTATTTAAACTCATACGTAGTCCTTATTTAATGTTCAGGACCCTTCAAAATCAACTAAGATCAATTTAACGCTGTTTACGAAAAAATTTCATGTAAAGCTCAAGCTTTTATCCTGACAGTTCGAGCTTTCTATCCATTGTTCGAGCTTTATATCAATAGCTCAAGCTTTCGGTCCATGGCTCAAGCTTTACATCAATAGCTCGAGCTTTTCTTTTAAGGCTCGAGTTTTACATCCAAGGCTCGAGCTTTGCCTCCAAGGCTCGAGCACTGTTACGCGAATTTACCCAGAAATCCAATTGTATGACTGTTCTTCATTGTTAAGGGTTCTAAGGCATCAATCTAAGTCTCATACGTCCATATTAATTTATTTTAGATAATTTAACATGTATAGATCCAACTTAAATACCAAATCATACATCAAATTTAAATCATGAATGTATATGTAAACACATAAAACCCACTGTACTAAACCAATTCAAGCATGCAAAATTATTCAATTTTAATATTTAAGCATCTTGGAATTTCCTAGGCATGTATAGAAACACGAATCAAAGGGAAAGAGATAGAAGAAGAACTTGCTTTAAACTTTCGGATCGAAAGTTAAACTTCTTCTTTCTTGATCTTCTTCTCTAAAGATTCTTCTCCTCCTTCCTTCATCTTCCTCCCTTCTAACTCTCTCTCTCTAAAATATATTACGTGATATATTTTAACCCCCTTTTACAACCTATAATTATATATTTATAGGCTAAATAATAACCCTATTATTTTTCCCAATCTAAGTCAACTTAATAAAGAAAATAAAAATTAAAATATTGAAAAGGTAACTTAAAATATATTACGTATATAATCTATGTATATCCTTATTAAATAAATAAAATATATACATCAGATTATTTATTAACAGATTATTTAATAACACTTAAATTACCATAATATTAAAAGGTAACTTAAAACATGATATGTATAAAATCTATGTATATCATTATTATATAAATATATAAAATATGCACATCAGATTAATTGTTAATACTAAAGATACCATAAAAGTAATTAATAAATTACTTTCCTTTTATATATGTATATATATATATATACACACACACACATACAACTATCCATGGATAATTATCCATACCCATTAAACCTCCTATCCAAGTAGTCTATAGTACCTAATTGGTTGGTCCATTATTACTAACCACAACCATAAAATAAAATAAAATAAAACATTTAATCTACAATTAATTACAATTAATCAAACACATCATTTAAGCACACAATATAATAAACAAATAATACAAATAACACCTTAACAAATAGTCAATTAATCAAGTAACACTCAATTCAATTAAACACATAAGCAATTAGTTAAATAATCAATTAAACAATTAAAAGTGTAATTAAAACATATAAATAAATACCGAGACTATCCTTTTAAAATTAGGGGTATTACAGGTGTGGAGGAGAAAACCTGTTCCTAAAGGCCCTTACATTTCTTTCCTGCCAAATGAAGTAAATTACAGCCGATAGGAGCAACTTGTGTGTGATGAAATTACCTTGAGTCCAATAGTTAGAACACCAATCAATGAGGTCACTCCAACTACTAGGCATAATGTAAAAACCTGCAGCATGTTGTATAAACTCCTATATGACACAACTATATCCCCTAAAAGAAAAGTGGTCCAGTAACCCCCAGTTAGCTAGACAAAGATAGCAGGCATTAGTGTTGTGTTTGTACCTCATAGGTTTTGAATCCAATGTATAGAGTTTGTTTTTGAGTGCCAACCAAGTAATATGCCCACGTTTTGGAATATGGTGCTTAAACCAAATGAGATGATGCCATTCAAATAACAGTGATGGAGGGGTGTAATATTCCATAATAAGCCTGTGTGAGTAGTCCATTGGAGCACTTGGCAACCACTGTATCATGTCTGGCACTGATGTAGGAGCTGCAATGCTATAGAGCTGTGATAGAAAAGATTGGGATTGGAAGAATGGAATATGTTGAAGGGATGATGGGATTGCCCATTGAGAATTGGAAATTAGGTTATCAACTTTGACTTGATAATCCAGTTAAAGAATTTCCATTTCAGTAAGGCCTACCTGAGCAAAGATAGGTCCATTTGGAAGCCAATAATCCGACCATAAGCTTGTGCAAACCCCTAAACCAACCTTATGCCTAATTAAACCCCTTGCTATTCCCCTCATTTTGAGAAGTCTTCTCCAAAACTGAAGGAGTGAGATGATACTTGCCCTAGTGTGTGCATCCACCCCAGCAAAGAAAACTTGAGTTTATTGAGAGCCTATAAACACTCAGAAATCTATTCAAAGCTGCAAACAATATCTACACAAATGCAAGGTTTCCATATGAAAATAAGAGGATATCATTTGCAAATGCTAGATGTGTAATGTCTAGTTTACTACATCTCCAGTGATATTTGAAGACTGGATTCTGAGAAATATTCTTGCTAAGGGCCAAATAAAGGACTTCCATTGCCAGAACAAACAACAACGAAGATATTGGATCCCTTGTCTGATACCTTTCTTATCCTTAAAGAATCCAAATAATTCTCCATTAAGTGATATGGAGTAAGAGGAGGTAGAGATACTTTGCTCAATCCAATGCACAAATAGATTGGAGAAACCAAACAAGTGAAGAGTGTTCAAAATAAACTGCCAATCAAAAAGCCTTTTTCAAATCAATTTTGAGTGCACAACATGACGGATGAGAGGCTTTATGATATCCATTTATGAGCTCATTTGCAATCAAAACGTTAGTTGGAAGTTAATAAAAGCATTCTACGATGGGTATGGATTGCAGCTTTTCAACATTCATGTAGCAAGAAAGGTTAACCCCATTATCAAAGCAGTATTTAACTTTTGTCACACACCAAATTAGTCACTATTGCACATAGTTGTATATTTCTAAAGTCAACACTGTTTGATAACAAGAAATCACCAATTAATCACTATATTTCTTAATAAAAGCATTCTACGATGGGTATGGAGTGCAGCTTTGCAACATTCATGCAGCAAGAAAGGTTAACGTCATTATCAAAGCAATATTTAACTTTTGTCACACACCAAATTAATCACTATTGTATTTCTAAAGTCAACAATGTTTGATAACAAGAAATCACCAATTGCTAAAAAAAAAATTAAAATTTTTTGCTAAAATCGAAGTGACAACTAGAATGGATGTTAAGAAAAAATTTACCCAAATTAACATGGGAACCAAAAAAAAAAAATTGTTCTTAGTTGGAAGTTTAAATCAAAAATTTGTTAGCTGCCTAACTAGCTCCTTTAGAATGCACATTCGGCGAGTGGTTACGTCACGCAAGCCTAAGTCTGTGACAATAAAGTTAAAAGTTTATTCACGAGCACTAAGACTTTAAAGTCGAAGCACATCAAATTGTATATTAAATTAAATTTGAAATCAACTGAAACTTCAAAATACAAACTCAATTTTCTCCAGTTTCATTTTTAACGCACTGATTCATTGATTAATTACTATAAGAAATTGTTTATGCCTAGATCAGATCGATGTAATTATACAAAAAAAATTATGTCATGGATCGAATAACACAATAATACACATACAATTCACAACTACACGGGATTAATTATGTCATTTATTCTAGAAGCAGCTCAGTAGTATTAATTTACACGCCCAACCAGTGCGCAGTCATAAAAACTCTTTTAGAACATCTCTCTCTCTACGTTTCTATATAAAGAGTAGACTTCCTCTCCCAAATATTGCACCTTATGAGTGTTGTATCTTGTGCCAGCTTTAAAATTCTCAACAGTGAGAACTAGAACGCACGCACACATATATATAGACACACACACAAATCTTCAAGGTAGAGAGAGAGAGAGACTGGTTTTGCTTAATCTCTGGAAATCAAGAGAAAGAGAGAGAGAGAGGCTTCTCTTGCTTGATCTGTGTAAGTCAGGTTCTTCCATCACTTATCCAATTTCTTTAGCATAAATGTGTTTCGCAGTTGAATACATGAGATATATATATATATATATATATATATATATATATATATATATATCTTCTTACCACTTCAAAAGTCATTATATTTCTACAATATATATTATGGGCTAGCTTATTTTCATCATCTAGATTTTCCTTAAATACAAACTTCATTTTAGCCCAACAAAATCTCTCTCTCTTTTCTTGTTAAATTAGTTCACAACAGTGTATATGTATATATATATATATATATTTGACAAAATAATCTATATATATGTGTGTGTGTTTGTTATTACAGATTGAGGATGTGGAAATTGAAGATTGCCGAAGGTGATGGAGCATGGCTCACCACCACCAACAACCACGTTGGAAGACAGTACTGGGAATTCGATCCCGAAGCCGGAACACCTCAACAACGAGCGGAGGTTGAGAGGGCTCGTCACGACTTCAACAAGAACAGATTTCGAATCAAACAAAGCGCTGATTTATTAATGAGAATGCAAGTACGTATATGCTACTATATATATATATATATATACATGAGCTTGGTATATATTTGATCGAGTAGTATATATATATATATAGATATATATGAGCTTGCTATATATTTGATCGAGTAGTATTCCTACATAAGTACATATGTATATGCATATATCAACAGTTCCCGTAAATATATGGGTGTTAAGGGTGTGAATGCCACAAGTATGGTGTTTGTTTCCTTTGCCTAAGGTATCACAAGATTTGTCATTTTAACTGTATTATTATTATTATAATAACTTATTTTAAAATAAGTTTACTAATTAAAGTCTCTAGACTAATTAATTACTTAATTGGAGAATTTAATATTTTACTATTTATACTTATATGTTAGTGACAGTTCTATCAAAGATGACATGAGAATATGGAAAATGTCGTAAAATAGGTCCATCGCAATGATATATATTAAATAATTTGAGTATATTAAATTAGATATAGAATGAAAGTATTATACGTATGTCATTGGTTTTCACGTTTCCACCTTTTGCCATCTTCCGGTCTCTGGATCCTTCCATTGGGTACAAAGCAAATTTCAATGCTTACCAACTGGAAGTGTATTTTTGCACATTGAAAAAGACGTACAAGTCTGATTTATCACATAATAATAATAAAATAATAAAATAAAATAAAAAGAGGAAGAAGAAGAGTGGGACATGCCTGGGACCCAACTCAGCTTTCACTTGCAGGAGTCATAAGCCCTGTTTGGGTAGATAGAATTAACTGGAAAAAAAAAAAAAAATAGAAAATTTTAAAATTTTTTTGTAGTTTGGTTAAATAGAAAATGAAAATTTCTAAAAAATTAAGATTCTTGTAATTTTTTATTTTCTCCGAAACGTTTCCTGCACATGGAAAAATTTATTTTTCATGAAATTATCGTCTTTTTATTTAATATTCTTATTTTACCCAGCAACTTCATTGATGTTATCTTTCATTGATGTTATCTTACCCAACAACTTCATCTATATTTGTAGACAATAATATTTTCTATCATTAATAAAGTTTTAATTAACTTGACTTCCATTTCTAGTTGTTTTTATCATATATGAATAATAGTAGTCTAAATTAATTGAAAACTTTATTATTTTTTAAATATAATTTATTACTAATTCTTTCTTTTTTTTATTTTTATAAAATAAGGGTAACTTCAGTATTCAAACTATAATATGATATTTTCCTATAATTTTTTTAAATAAATTTTCATCATAGCCAAATAAATTAATTTTCTTTTCATTTTTCATTTCTTTTATTTTCTTGCTATTTCCATCTAATCCTAAGTAAAACATTGCATTTATTTGTAAACAATACGTCCTTTCAGCATTATTATTTCCAAACAATTTTTAGAATTTCTGAAACAAAAAAAGTTTTTAAAATTTATGAAAAATTATCACCTAATTTTTTTTTTTTTTTGGTTCATGTGAAAATAGCATATAGTTGCAAGTAACTTGATTGCAAAGATTCTTGATCTTTGTTCCATTAAAATTCAGGATAGTGTTAGTCCCCTTAATTAAAAACATGTGGACAAATTAAAATTGTGCGTAAAAGCCTCATAAGATAATAATAATAATAAATCATTCGAAACACAACCTAATATATTGTTAAATCAAATGCTCCTGTTGATTTCAATAATATTTTATGTCACTTTGTACTTAAAAATATATAATAATAATAATAATAACTAGCGCCAAAGAAGAAAATTACTCACAAGTCCTATGGATTGTTCCTTACCTTAGTTACGTCCCAAATTTAGTAGTTGAGCCTCATTTTCAACAACTTACATCAATGTGTCCCACTTTTCAATTCATGTTGGTGGTTGTGAAAATGATATGAAGAATGGTGACCATTCTTTGTTGATGACCTTTTTCTTTTTATTTTATTTTTCTTTTTTCTTTTTTATTTTTTTACCCTTCCCTTTTTTCCTCCTTTTGTCCATACAGCAACATTCAATCTTAGCTCTAGCCTTTCAATATGCCTTAAACTTAAAAATAAAAAAAAAACAAAAAAATAAAAAATAAAAAACCCTTTCAACTGAAAGATTTGTATAAAACATCTTGTATTTCATTCAACCATTGGAGAAATGATAAAACCTCATAGGCCATACCTGTCCTTACGAAATGAAAATGAAAAGGATTTGAGTTAAAAAGAAAATTTGAAATAAGAAAATTGAGTTGAATCCTAAGATCATACGTTGATAACTACTCATTTCCCTTATTCTGACTCCAAATATTGAACAATTCATTTATTTTTGTAAAACAGATTGATCATAATATAACAAAGAATATGGCATGTTACAGAATTCTTTTTATTTTTAGTATATTTTTTTATCCCCTCATTTTTTTTTTTTTTTTTTGGGGGATTTTGCCATATTTTTCACTATTAGATGTGCAAAACCTGCAGCTTACAATGGAGAACCCATGTGGGCCCATTCCAGAAGCAATAAAATTGAGAGAAACGGAGGTTATAACAGAGGAAGCTGTGACAACTACACTGAAGAGGGCTATCAGCTACTATTCAACCATCCAGGCCCATGATGGCCACTGGCCTGCTGAATCTGCTGGCCCTTTGTTTTTTCTACCTCCTCTGGTAAATCATGTTCATTCTACCTATCATCCATAAATGATTTGGAGTCTAAAAATTAAAAAAAACTTCGAGTGATTTATATGAGTGGGCATGTATTGTTTGGGGGCCTTCGGCCCATGTTCGAAACTCACTAGCATCATTTTCCTTCCCCTTTAACCTCTAACTCTCTAACCCCCACTAACCATTGCCAAATCAATATATGTGTGTGTATCATGATGTCATTAATATTTATGACCTCATCATAACATCACCCCTACTCAGTTGTCCCTACTCACATAAAATTAGTCAACAACTCCCTATCATTACTCATCGTTCATATCATCACATATTGTAAAAGGGCTTTGACTAAATATCAAATACTAACAGTTATTAATTTGAAATTCTTAGATTACCTGAGTTAGCAACTAGTGCTCTTGGGATTTAACTTTAAATTACTATGTATAGGAGGTAAGACTGCAAAACTTATTGGTCATGAAAATAAAATTGGAAACAAAAATTTTTGGGTATGATGCAAAAGAATGACAACAGTTGTTATAAATGTTACAATATGCAGGTCATAGCTTTGTATGTCACAGGAGCTCTAAATGCTATTCTATCACCAGAACACCAGAAGGAGATCATTCGCTACCTATACAATCATCAGGTATATATATATATCACAAATAGGATTCATGGATCTACTAAGCTACAATTTTCTGTTGGATTTTTGGGCAGAACGAGGATGGAGGTTGGGGCATACACATAGAGGGACACAGCAGCATATTTGGTTCATCCCTTAGCTACATTACATTGAGGCTACTTGGAGAAGGACTAGAAGATGGTGAGGACAGGGCCATGGCTAGAGCACGCAAATGGATCCTTGACCATGGCGGTGCAGTGGGAATTCCATCTTGGGGAAAGTTTTGGCTTACGGTGAGACCATTTGGATCTCAGTTTAGAGCACCACTACAAAATTTGGATGCACCAAAAGTTTAATCCAATGAATCCATACATTGTTTCTAAAGCAATTCCATACTTGATCTAATGATCAATGCTCGCATATCTCATCTGGTGCAGGTACTTGGAGTGTATGAATGGGAAGGCTGCAACCCTATGCCTCCAGAGTTCTGGCTGCTACCAACAATCTCTCCCATTCATCCAGGTTTTGACCTAATTCGTCTCATAACAAATATCATATCTACTTTAAGTATGCGAGTTTCAAAAGTCAGCATAGACCATAGTGCATGCATCAAAATTCAGTACCTTCATTGTGTGCAATGCAGGCAAAATGTTGTGCTATTGTCGCTTGGTGTACATGCCTATGTCGTATTTATATGGAAAGAGGTTTGTTGGCAAGATCACCGGATTAGTCAAATCTCTAAGACAAGAACTCTATACTGAACCTTACCATGAGATAAATTGGAATAAAGCTCGAAACACATGTGCAAAGGTTCGTCATGGAAATTTTGTTTCCAAAATTAAAGCATCCATGAAGGTTACTGAAGTATATATGTTCATCTATTTTCTTTTAGGAGGATCTCTACTACCCACATCCTCTGGTACAAGATATGCTATGGGGATTTCTTCAACATTTTGCTGAACCTATTCTGACGCGTTGGCCTTTTTCTAAATTAAGAGAGAAGGCTCTGAAACTTGCAATGGAACATGTACATTATGAGGACAAGAATAGTAGATACCTTTGCATTGGATGTGTAGAAAAGGCAAGTTTATATATAGCATTTAAACTGCATGATATTTCTAAGTAAAGTTTGCACAAGGAAATGTTGAAATGTTAACTAATCACTTGTCTCACAGGTGTTATGTCTAATTGCCTGCTGGGTGGAAGATCCAAATTCAGAAGCATACAAGCGCCATCTAGCCCGAATTCCTGATTATTTTTGGCTAGCAGAGGATGGCCTGAAAATGCAGGTCACAGAACTAGTCTAAAAAAGTTATTTTGAAATCTATCACACACACAAACACAAGCATGAACTTATTAAAATCTAAAGGAAATAATTAAGAAAAACTAAGCTGCAAAGCATCCATGAACTTATTACAAATCTTGGGCTAGTAATTACTTCATCATTATTATAATAGGAATGATTTTTGTAGGGCTTCAGCCAAGTATTTGTTATACCAATGGCATCAACACGCACAACAATCAAATAAATAAATAAATTTCATAGTTTATTCAAATCCAATGTCAATTTTTCTGATGAAATGTAGTAAATAATAAATTGATTTCATGCAGAGCTTTGGCTGTCAGATGTGGGATACAGCTTTTGCTGTTCAAGCAATTATCTCAAGTAAACTTACTGAAGAGTATGGACCTACACTTAGGAAAGCACACGACTTTGTAAAGGCGTCACAGGTTTGATCTTAGTGCCATACAAACCCTAATATTGCACCAACCAATCTAGCAAAACACCAAAATAATCAAGGCAACGTATTTTACAGGTTCGCGACAACCCTTCTGACAACTTCACTAAAATGTATCGACACATTTCTAAAGGGGCATGGACATTCTCAATGCAAGACCATGGCTGGCAAGTCTCAGATTGCACAGCAGAAGGGCTAAAGGTGATTCCAAAATACCAGATCAATCAAATAAATAGAGAGTAGCACATTTTCAAGGTTTGTGCTATAGCGACGTTTCTGGTTTTTGGCAATGCCTTTTCTTTTGCAGGCTTCACTTCTTTTCTCACAAATGCCACCAGAACTCGTTGGGGAAAAAATACAAACAGAGTGTTTATATGACGCCGTGAATGTCATTCTTTCCCTGCAAGTAAGGATTATCCTAATAGGTTCTTGCTTAAACAAATGTAACCCCAAAAGTTGTGTTGCTTGCTAATCATGATGATACACTTTGGATTTCTGTACCTTTTTCCAAGTTCTGGTAGCATAGTTCACTGTTCTTAAAGATTCTCTTCTATTTTAAAATAAATGCAGAGTAGCAATGGTGGTTTTCCAGCTTGGGAACCCCAAAGAGCGTTTCGCTGGTTAGAGGTATAACTTCTTTTATAAGCTATGGCCACTTTGGATCAATTTCTAAGGGATGCTAACTTCAAGATCCTATAGTGTTTTGTGCATCCAATACAGAGTAAAGTTTGACAATTTTTTGTGTACTTATTCCAGAAGTTCAACCCCACAGAGTTTTTTGAGGATGTTCTCATTGAGAGAGAGTATGATTTCTTAATCACAAAACTTTTTTCGCACTACTACTAGTTCCTTTTCCTACTTGACAATTATGGCTGTGTTATTTTAGGTATGTGGAATGCACTGCATCAGCAATTCAGGGCTTGGCACTCTTCAAAAAGTTGCACCCTGGACACCGAACAAAGGAAATAGAAAGCTGCATTTCAAGAGCTATACAATATATAGAAGAGACACAAAATCCAGATGGTTCATGGTAAGTTTTTCATCAAACAAATGTATTTCTTGTTGTTGGACGATATTAGCATTGAGGATGGAAAGAAAATCAACATTCAGTTGATGAACTTTGAACATTTTAACAGGTATGGTTGTTGGGGAATTTGCTACACTTATGGTACATGGTTTGCAGTGGAGGGGCTTGCAGCTTGTGGGAAGAACTACCATAACAGTCCCACGCTGCGTAAGACATGTCAATTCTTGCTATCAAAGCAGCTACCAGATGGTGGATGGGGAGAGAGTTATCTTTCAAGCTCAAACAAGGTATAAACATAACATCACCTTCTTCTTCCTTTTTTTTTTTGGTTTTCTGACTTTATCATTAATGGTGAAAAGGGGACAGATTTTGCAAATCTGAATAGCAAAAGCTGCCCTCAATTTTGATTGAGAAAGGAGATAAATTGTAGCATTAAATCTTAATGTCTCAATTTTTTTCCCCATATAAACACATCATTGTTATCTGAAATAGGTGTATACAAATCTAGAAGGCAACAGGTCAACTTTGGTACAGACAGCATGGGCTCTATTATCCCTCATAGATGCTGGACAGGTTAGTATGATAAAGTTAATCTGATAATTATAAGAGGAAATATAGAAAAAAGAGCTTTACTATCACTGTTAGGTTCTGTTCTTTAAAATACTTCATAAAACTATATAAAAGTGTTTTAAGAAACTGCACCATTCTTTTTAACTCTGTAAGAAACCAGTTTATTCCCAGAAAATATAGCCAAACAAGACCTTTTTATTCATTATGTTATGACCAAAAAAAAACATCCTAATTCTAAATGATTTCATCACATTAGGCTGAGATTGATCCAACACCCATAGATCGCGGAATGAGGCTACTGATTAATTCACAAATGGAAGACGGGGATTTTCCTCAACAGGTATATACTACAAATTTCAATTTTTTTTTTTTTATAATTAAAATGACCATAAAGCTTATTATGGCAAGAAAAAGAAAAAGAAGAAATATATCTATATATATAGTATGAATGTCTATAAAATAAATTAAAATGTTGAATGTTTCTACTTTCTCTTGCATGCATTTTACACGCAAGACTTGAGCAGTGAGGAGCATGACATGTATATATTAATCCAAACAGTGTTGGCTGCAGGAAATAACTGGAGTGTTCATGAAGAACTGTACTCTGAATTACTCATCCTACAGAAATATATTCCCTATATGGGCTCTTGGTGAATATCGGCGTCGCGTATACGCATGAAGCTCTAAATGTCAAGGCCGAAGGCTAGGGACAACCACTTAAAGAATAAACCTTCAAAGAGGAGGGCTATACCCATATGCAACTGTTATCTGTGTGATGTATGCAGATTGCAGACACTACTATGTTACATATTATATATGTGTGTGTGTGTGTGCTTGAATATATATGCCGTTAGCAACTTGTAAAACAGTTCATAAGCTTTTTCCCAGTGTCTTGTTCAACATTTCTCTCCATTAGTGTTTGAAGTATGAGAGGGCATAGAAACCAAAACTACATGTACGTAATGTATTATTTGAATCAAAGTATAATATATCCCTAGGAAAAGCCTACTCGCAAGTCCAATTTTGTGTGTGTGTGTGTGTGTGTGTGTGTGTGTGAGAGAGAGAGAGAGAGAGACTAAATTATACATAATCTCAAAAACATATTGTTCGCCATGTTTGGGGACCAATCAAGTTTTCATTAAATAAAAATATATTATTAAAAAATAAGTATTCATGTCTAAAAGTGATGTTGATTAGAGTATGCATCTCCTTTTATATTTTATACGGTTAGTTTTGAAATTTAAAATTAGGACAAACACTAAATCCATGTTTCTCTAAATGTGAGACAGGACGGTAATCACATTTGATAAAAAATATAAAATAATAATTAAAAAAAAAAAAACATTTCTTTTTTTTTTTTTTTTTTGAAAAAAGAACTTTTCCTTTGTCATATATTTACCCCCACATTGTTATCTTCTCTGTACTCCCTAAGAGAGTAGGTAATAGGCATACATGTCTATTATATTTCTAACAAGCTTCCAAATGAAAATTTCGCATCAATTGATTCTTAGGCGAAAACATCACTTGCATAATCTTATTCTATTCCATTCACGCAACCTAACAGTATCAACCTATCAAGGAGTAACTGCCTGCATGAGTAACAAATTTCAACACAGGATTTGTAAAGCAAATATTACAGTGGAATCCGACAAAGCAAACCAAATGTACAAGCAAAATTAATGACGGATTTCTTGTTTCTGGTTTACATGTAAAAAGGAAGAATGAGAAGACAGAACACATACTTTGAGGAAGCACAGCTGCGCAAGTTTTACATTACAGTCATAGACATAATCTGACGAGCAAGACCGGGATCTTGTTGCAACAGCTCCCTGAGGTTGTTCTCCACTTCAACCAGCTGCTTCTCCAAGTACTCCCTTGAGGTCTGTCCAATGCCCAACAACAAACCTCATGTTACCAAATACCCAGTATAGAAAGTTAAATTTACTGACATTTGACAACAGGTTACTAATTTAAGCCAGTTAGGTGACAAATTTAGCTCAAATCTCATTTTTTTGTTTTCGAAGTTCTTGAAAACTGTTTTCAAATAACAACTATGCCCTATAAAATTTTGAAAACTTTTCTAAATTAACAATGTTAATCTTTAAACTTTATAGTTATAAAATTTCAAGGGGAAACATTCATTGAGTGCATGACCCCTCAAAACGTTGAAATCCTCAACGGAGATATTCATTTTGAGAGTAGGTGCCAGGTGGTAGCAAATAACTCATGATGGAGTTCTTCCATAGGCTTCAAAATTGGAATCCCCAAAAGTAACATTAACTATGAGACCGAAAGTCCTGCCCCTCCCCAAAAAAAAATAAATAAGGCATGCTTACATATGAAAAGAATATTTAAAAGACAACCTACTAAATCAAATTGATGGATCTAATTGACAAGTGTTGTTAGTTGTGACGCTGATCTCCAAGCTCAGAAACAAAAAGATAAAACAAAATTATAAATCTTCCTACATATATGTATGTATATCACACAGGTGGGACAACATGTAATAATTTCCATTTGCATGTGTGATGAAGGCAGGAAAAGGAAAAAAACCTGCAAGGAGGCAATTGCAGTTTCACTATCCTTCAACTTTTGTTCCTGTTCATCCACTAAAACTGACTTGGGCTCTAAAACAAACCTGGTCACAATGTATTAAAAAATAAATACAGCAATAAATAAAAACTTAAGGCAATAATAAGGGGAGAAAAACAAGAAAACAAGTCATCAAAGTATATCATGTCCACTCCTGCATATATTCATATAATTGGGTGTGCATAAACTCACGTTCTCCCTACAAAACAAGAGAGACATGGATGTTAAATCAGTAAATGGTCATTAACTGTAGTACTTTTATAAGAAAAGACGAAACATGTGGACACTAATTTAGTGAATGATAGGGATTCCAGTGATTCTCAAAGAAATTGAGGCCACATCAGTACAGAAGACAAAAGCAGTAGCTGCATTTGACTTTGATTCCATACCTATAGATTTGTATGTATTTGTATCATCAGACAATTGCCGCAGTTCCTCCAAGGTTAAATAAGCACGTTTCTTTTCTCCTTCTTTGTTTCGCATCTGGGTCTGAACCTGAAAGCAAGTAATTCACTGTTACTATTTAAAATCCCCTTCTTCGTGTAATAAAATAGAAAGATATCTTAAAGTAAAATCCTTTCAAATCCAGAAATAAAATTAGCAACATAAAAATTAACATACAAAACCAAGGGGAAAAATATAAATGTCACTCCAAAGCTGCAAATCAGAATCAATTACAAAGACAATGAAGTCATGGAACCCCACTTATCTAAGAATTATATAATTTTTCCCAGCTAACAACCAGAAAATGGTAGATAACAGTATAGCACATCTTCACTCAAAAGCAGCCGGTAACACTGGTATTCCATCAGAGAAATGATTGTCTCATCCAAAATTTCTAGTACATATTTTAGATATAACTTCCATCTAAACGTCTATCTCATGATCAGGTGTGTGCACATAGAAATATAAGATCACGTCATTCAAAATTATTGCTGCAAAGAATAAAAAATTGTGAAATACTGCAGCCACCAAGGCGCAGAAAACCAAAAGTATCCCAAGAATGGAAAAAACTGAGCTCCGCGGCTCTATAACCACAAGGAAATGAATGAAAGGTTTCTTCAGTCCATTTAGACACACAGCATCTCACTCTCTAGATCTCTTTTTTTAAAACATTACCAGTGTGAAAGTGCAAGCTAGCTTAAGGATAAAACCCTTATCAGCCACAACGGAGACCTGTGATTGAATCGCCTTGAGCATAATTTGGAGGGGTTAACTGCCGTTATGCAGCCAACCATCACCACGGGGGAAAAGAATGACAAGTTAAAATAAAAATAATTCCTAGACTGTAGCCAAGACATGTATGTAACCCAAGCCAAACTCTATCAATATGAGTTATTCCAACATAGAGCTAACAATAAAACAGTCCATAAAAGTTCAAGAATGAGCAAATTGAAGGACGGCAAAAATATTAGAACTTACTTAAATTTCAAGTTGAGGACTTCTTTGGTTGGGACCTCTTGTAATCAAGATACAGTTTTAGTCGAGACTAATTTTTACCAAGGGTTGTAACCTAGTGAGACTTCCTCACAAAGTAGAACGTCAAGGATTCAAGTTTCCACAGGGGCAAAGTGGGTGAGTTTCAAATAGGAAAAAAAAAAAATCCTTTGTTTAGGTTAATTTCATGTTGTATAATTTTGATTACATTTTAATAACTTTTAGGAGTAAAAAGTATTGTAATACGTAGCATTTTTCAGTGAGGAAACGTGGGCTGCAAGCCAGAGGGTATCTTTCTGGGTTATGTTTATCATTTATGGGGTCTTTATTCATGGACTTTAGAAAATTTATATAGATTATCGTAGTCCAAGTTCTTTAGTTTCTACGTAAGGAGCACACATTCTATTAGAGTTGGGATTACCTAGAAATCTATGTATTACCATGCAATATTTACAATTCAATGGATGGTTCAAAGAATTTTCATAATCTTTTCATCTTTTGAAAACCTTCTGAGGTTATGCAATGTAACTCTAACCCCATATGTAACTCCTATGAGAATCCAGGTATAATACCCATCTTCTACTCCTCCTCCTGCTTTCTTATGGTTTTCCTTCATTTCTGCACAAAATCCACTTGCACCTCAACCTAATTCAGCACCATTTACAACCTCAAAAGTTCCAGTTGACAAGATTTATCCTTTTTCCTCTATGGATTATCATGCAATACTTTCAATTCAATAGAAATTAGTTCAAAGGAATTTTCAAAAGCATTTGAAAAGCTTTTGGGATTATAAAATTGTAACTCTTAACCCCATATGTAATTGCTACAAGATTCTAGGTATAATACCTGTCTTCTTCTCCTCCTACTTTCTTATGGTTTTCTTCATTTTCTGCACTAAATCCACTTGCAACCAGACCTAAATCAACACAATGACAACCTCATAAATATTCTAGTTGAGAAGCCTTATCCTTTTACCAGGAACAGAACTATGGGGAGGCCATGGGACCATGCCCCCCCAAATTTTTTGGAAAATCTGTCTCTTCTAAATGGTGAGTCTAAAGTACTAAAAAGATTTAACATGTGACCCTTCAAATTTATAAACAATATCAATTTGAGTCCATTTAGGTCTTACTTTTGGAAGTTCACTTCTTGAAGGAAGGTTCAAAATTCCAAAAATAAACCCTATCCTTATTAATTTTCTCATTTTATGCTCTTAGTGACTTATGGAGTACTTTAATATAATTAGTCTCATTAGATCTACTTTCCAAATTTTATATTGTGAATTTTATATATATATATATATTACACTTCAAAATGTTTTAAGATTCATACTATTAATTGGCCCAAAAAGCAAAAATAATTCGGTCCACCCCTGCATTTTATATAATTTTAGTCAAGTAGCACATGACCCTATTCAAGTCCAGCAACAAAGAATCATAATCTAACTTCAAGCACTTTATTATTTATTAAATTTTTATTTTCCTTTCCAAAGAACAACTTATAAGTAGTATTAGCCTGAAATCAAAAAGAGACCACTTCCACAAGAGCTTGAAAGGCACAAATAATTCATTAGTTCGTGTAAATATTTCGCTGGATCATTAACAAGAAGAATACAGCATCAGCACCAATTTATGTATATTAATGTCTGTATATTGACACACACGTACACAAATGTAAAGAGCCTAACCTGCTTCAAGTTTGCAGTAATCTCAATCATGCGACCTTGAAGTTCGAGAAACGCCTGCAGATTCAATTCAATTCAATTCAAATAAAAAGGATCTTAAGTCAAATATTTACAAACTAGCTCCATGTTATACATATACACAGACACACACACATACATATGTATAATAAAATCCGAAAATTTTGAAATTGGAAGAGTGAAAAAGAGTAAACTATGGTGATCAAACCCTCCTTGACTTTATAATTTTTACATACATTTCTGTTTGCTTCATCTGCCATTTCTCTTCGTATTCAATTCTCAAAGCGAATCGTAGAGTTTGAAACCCTAATTGAGTTCTGATGCGTGAGCGAGAATGTAATATCAGTGGTAAAAATGTTCGGTTGGACTGGAAAAAAGCCCGTCTCGTTTGTCAATAGTTTGGTTACTTGGGGTGGGCTTGACTTCTTTTTAAGGCTAGGGCTTGTATAGTCCAGCTCACGCATAAAAAAAAAAATCACTCAACGCTTAAAAATAGAATATAAGAAAAGTAAGATAAAAAATATGAAGAATGAGTAGAAATAATTTTAGAGTAGTGATACAGCATCCGAATCTTATCCCCGAAATAATTATCGAACCATGACGTGACTTGGTCACGTCAGACTCTTTAAAAGGTAAGACTTAGAGAATAAACCTCTTCTATAATTTTTAGCATAAACTGAAAGAAAAAATAAAAGAATAAAAGCTTGCTCAATGATCGTGGATAGAGAAAGGCAATGATGTGAAGATATGGTGGTTAAATACACAAATCTGACATATATATACATACTAGATAGAACCACGTGCGATGCACGTGATTGAACTTAACAATATTTTAAAATAGTAAAATAGCTTAGATAATATGTAAAAATAATTTGAAAATTAAATAGAGAAATAAAATCTAAAATGGAATTAAAGTAACTTATAGATAAAAGTGTTAAATTAATTTGGTTTATATATTTATGAATTTAGAGCAAAATAAATTCAAAACTTTTAGTTATCATTCATTATCTAAATAACTATTTAACTATTAATCTCAAAGATAAATAAAACTTTCATCATCTTCAAAGTCTCTTTATTTAAAACCTTATGCAAACCCTAGTATTCTTGTGCTATTTATTGTCAAACAATTAAAGAATATAATTTTATTTTGCAAAGCAATGAAAAGGACTATTGAATCAATTGTACAAGAGATTTATTATATCAAATCATATAATGTATTAAAATATAACAATATGTTTATAAATACTGCATATAACACATTACATTTTTTTATAAATAGATTTAAAAACATTCAATAAAAATTAAATAATTATATGTTGCACATCTTATATCGATTTTTTATTTATTTTTTTGTTATGTACGACTGAATAGAATATAATATACATTATAGCATATTATATAGAGACCTTAAAGTTGTTCACACATAATTATTATGATATAGAGTAAGTATTATGATATATTCATAAATAAAATCTATAATTATGAACAATCTAATTTTTCTACAAGTGTTTGCTGTTAAAAGTGTGTCTCTCTAAGCACCGTAAACATTTCTAAATTCAGAAAAGGATTATAACACTTACCTATTTCACTCTATATAACACTTATAAGCGTGTCTCTCCAATTTCTAAATTCAGAAAAGGAGTATAACATTTACGTATTTCACTCTCACTTTCATGACACTTTCATTTTTATCCAATAAATTCTTCCAACACTCTAAATAAATTGAAATTCATACTTTTTCATATGAATAGATTTCAATACATGGAATTAATACATACCAAAAATTCAGAGATAGCTAAAATTTGGCGGGAGAGATTTATTTATAAATAAAATTTATAACTTTCAACCATCGTCTGGTTTCTTTAAAAGATGTTTAATAATATCAATTTTAGTAAAATTGAATAACTTTATATACAAGAATGTTATGAGCTTTTTATTCCAATGCGGTTGAATAAACACAACTTTTAATTTTTTATTTAGACATTTATTTATTAATTTATTATTTAATATTAATAATTTATTATTTATAGAGATTGACTTTTAGTCAAGGATTGTAAAACTTCTCTACATACGAAAGAATTTAGAAAATAACTTTTACACTGCTTGATGCATGATAAAATTTTAAATTTAATCAATCACATTTTTTCTTAACGCTAAAGAAAAAGAGTGAAAAAGAAAAAGATTTCACAATTAAGAAGAGTTTTAGTTTATGATGCTAAAAAAAATTGTGACTTTCAGTATTATAAATGATTAAGGAAGTGAAATTAACGGGAGTTTTTATTTGAAGAATATGATGTATTGGGATGAAATAATTTTTTTTCAATTGAAGATCATATCCATTCTTTTTTTTTCCTTTTTTTTTAAAAAAAAAAATCAATATAAATAAATAGAAATTGGTTTCCAATAATATATATATATACACATATATATGTATATGTAATACACATATTACAGATAAAGTATATATTAAACTGGTTGAACTAAATGCCGTTTTATTCTAAATGTAACTCTAGAGAATTTCTTAATTTCTTAGTATTTTTTTTTATTATTTTTTACATTGCAATTTCTCAATACTTCCAAAAATCTTCATGGAACAGACTTCCAAATATAAACAAAGTATATAACAGAATCATAAATACTTTGGAGAGAATTAGGCAAACGTATATTAAAGAACAATATTTCTTAAAAAATTAAATAGGAAATGAACACAAAATTAGACATAAAAGCAACAAAGAACAGTAAACACGTTTTATACGCAGAGAATGGGAATTTTTTAATATTTAAACATGATCAGGATGTAGTTAGACCAAAACACTTAGTTATAACAGAATATAAATAGTACAAATAAAGTATTATAAATAATAACAGTCCAATAAAATATCAGTAAAAGCATTTTAAAGTAATAAAGAGTAAGAAACTTCTGCCTGTTGGAGAGTTGAAAGGCTCAAAGATTGTCACTTTCACAAAAGAACATTTACCAAGTCTTCCACTATCATTTAAAATGTATATAAATATTATAAATCAAAAACACTTTTATAGGGTATAAAAATCAAAATTGACTACACTTTAACATATAAAATATAAAAACTCCTCATTTACTAATTATGTATTGTATATATAATGATTCATTCGTGAAAGAATTTTATAATAACCAACTAACATTTCAATTAATGATTATACGTGTCAGTTATCTATATATACTTATACATGTATATTGCATATAAAATACAATATTTCATATATTTTATCCATGTAATTTTCCTGAAAAAAATAAATTTAATATTCATGCATATTTCTTTCACATCGTAATAAAAGAATTCCAGACCTGAACTATTAGGAGAACATATAAAATATAATTACTCCTCGTGTACTAATTATGTATGAAACAATATAAATATATATATGATTAGATAGAAAGATAAACTATATAAGTTGTTCTTCAAATCAAATTAAAGCGTACCGTTTTTTTAAATAAATAAATAAAAAAATTGAAAGGATTTTGAGTTGCAATTTGATGTACATGAACCAAAAGACAAGTCTCCTCTCAAAGCTGTTGAAATTGTTTGTGGAAGAAGAAACCTCTAACAAACTTTTTGTGAAGAAATGTTTTTTAAAGAGAGATAGAAAGAAATAGACTGGAGTGAGATATAGGGTGATAAAAAAATGTTTGCAGTTAAAATGTGACTTTTAGAAGAAGTGTTAGTGTAGTTAAAATGTGACTTTTAAAAGAGGTGTTAGTAGTTATTTGAAAAGTCACATTTATTTATTAAAATAAATTAAATGATTTAATTGTATATAAATAATAAACTGTGACTTTTAAAAGAGGTGTTAACAGTTATTTGAAAAGTATATATTATTATTACAAAAAAATGTATATAAAAAATACAAAGTGCAGTTGAAAGATGACTTTTAGAATAGGTGTTAGTAGTTATTTGAAAAGTCACATTTATTTATTAAAATAAATTTAATAATTTAATTGTATATAAATAATAAATTGTGACTTTTAGAAGAGGTGCTAGTAGTTATTTGAAAAGTATATATTATTATTACAAAAAAGTGTATATAAAAAATACAAATATAATACACTTTTATAGGGTAAATAGATAAGTTCTTACAAATTTAAAAAGTTAAATAACAAAACATATTTTCACAATAACATCGATCCAGGACTCTAGGCTTTGTAACGAGTTTTCTTTTCCAATAGCTATTCAATCGATCCTCTCTTTCACAATTTTTGAAATCAAGAATTAGGGCAAAACATGAAACCGACATGGTGATGGTAGAATCAAAGAAATTGAGAGTTTTTTTTTTTTTTTTTTTAAAAAAAATATTTTATTATATAGTTTTGATAATGTTTTGTATAAATCTTTGTGGCCTATCAAATGGAATCCCAAACCTACAAAGTTAGAGAAAGTGAAAGTGATAGACTGACAAGATCTCCAAATTATTTAGAAGCTTTTTTGAAGGATGGAATCTTAGTTTATATCTAAAAAACTGGGTGTTCAAATATGAATTTTTCTTTTTCTTAATAGTCTGACGTGGCCAAACCACCTCACGATTAGGTGATTATTTCGGGAATATTTTTCGGGTGTTCTATCATTTTCCATAATTTTATCATTATTTCAAAAATTATTTTTTATAGTTCACTCTTTTAGGAGAAATTTTATAATTTGAATTATTAAAAAATACACCTGAAAAAAAAAATGAAATGTCAATATTATATCAAAAAATATATTCAAGTGATAACATGTTAGGTAATTTTATTTTTATTTTTATTTTTTATTTTTTATTTTTTTTCCATTGACAATCCTTTCTTCAGTAAATTTTGATTGACTGGGAAAATGGATGAATGAAATTCCATAAATAAGGCTTGACACTCGTAATTTGGTGTTTTTTTTCTTCTTCAAGACACCAATGCATTCAGTAGAAAAGGAGGAAAAATCCTTACTTGTAGCCAAATTTTGCATTTCAGATTAGACCTTTCAATGATTGTATTTTGATCCAAATTCGAATCAATAAATAGAATACAGGTTGAAACTAATTTGTTACTATTCCGAATCCGAATTAATAAATAGAATATGAATTGAAATATTCAATATGATATTTCGTTACTAGTTCAAATCAATGGCATACCTAGTGCTGGGCTCCAGCCCACCAAAAAAAAATAATAATAAAATAAAATAAAATTATTACTATGCGTAATTTTAACCCAACCTAAAGAAAAAAGAAAAAAAAAAAAAAAATTATTATTAGTATTAGCCCATCCAAACAAAACCTAAGTCAGTTAAGTCACAATACTAAAATAAAGGCCCAAGCCAAACAAGCCCTAATAAAAAAAATTTGCTTAATAAATTATGTTATTAAATTTATGTTTAATTTTAGCACACCCCATTGACAATTTATGGATCCGCCCTTGGTTCAAATTCAATAGTTCATTAACTAAACAAACCAAATAGAAATTATGGTCAATCCAAATCCATAATAATCTGATTCAATATAATATAATATATAATATAGTATAAATATATTATATAATCCTATAATGTATAACATTTACATATTATTAAATAATGTTATCATTTTTTTGTTCTTCTTAGTAAAACGATTTTATTGTATTTTTCTTTAATAAAAGTCAAATACATGCTTTTTTTTGGTTTATATTCTATTTTTATCCTTTAGCTTCTATCTTTTTTTTCCTTAATTATTTGTTAATCTCTCTTGATATGATTTTTTATTTTTTGCAAAACAAAAATATTAATTTTTCGGGTCATGGATCGAATATCCTTTTAATGACGCAATGAGATATGAATTTACGTATAAATAATTCATCGGGTTATCAATCGAATCGGATCATATATTATTACTCTTATCGACAGGGGCGGCTCGATGTAACTCGGGACCTTAGGTGAAAAATAAAAAGTAGCATTTTCATATCATAATATGTAATATATTAATTATTAAATAATAATTAATTAAGAATCATCCTTCTTGCTTTTTGAGATGCAAATTTACTAATTAAATTCTTATATTCAAGTGTGGTTAAAATTTATTTTTCAATAGATAATATAACCAATCCATTTAATCTTTCTTATGACATAGTTAATCCTAGATATGATTTTTTCAACTTTAATTTCAAAAAACTTCTTTCTGCTACCGCAACAGTTACAAGTATTTTCAATAATATTATGTAAGCAATGCATGCATTTGGAAAATAATCTAATCTTTTAATATAATATAATATTTCAATTAAAGTGTTTGTTTTCTATGAACATGAGGATTAGGAATAAGAAAAATAAAATAAAATCTAGAAAAGAGACTATGAGAAGTTTATTTACTTCCCCATACAACGACTAAATATTTATTGTGGTACAACTTACCGAAAAAATATTAAATATATATAGTGCTGGTGTAAGAAAAACAAAAAAAAAGGTATAAAAAAGAAAACGTGTACAAGATAAACAAACAAAAAAAATATTAATGAGATATTTTAGGAGATAAATAATTTCTCTATTAGTTAAAGTTTAATGAAAAGGCGTGAATGATGATAAGGAAAGAGTAAACAAAAAAAGAAAAGCTATTTTAGGAGATAATTTTTTTAAAATTAGTGTTTAATAAAAAAATAATTACAATATATCATATATTAGGCAATTATAATATTTTAGGGTCCTTTATTGGCTGGGCCTTAGGCGTTCGCCTAACTCACTTAAGGTTTGAACCGTCCCTACTTATCCAATTATGTTCCAAACATGCCTTATCTTTAATCCATTTACGGCCTTAACTCCATATCACCACATCTTGGGTTTAAAAGCCCTGCTAAGCAGCCTGAGGTCAATGACATCGGACTCTCCTTTTTCCTATTCTGAGTCTGCTGCTTTCTCCATCATCACTTGGGCTAGTTCCCCTTTTCATGTGAACCCTTCTCCCGTCTATCTCTTGGTAAGGAATTCGGTCATGATTCGCCAGTCATCACTATTGCTAGACGGGCGTGAATCACTTGTTGTGCAATTCCTATGTGATTTTTTGTTGTAATTTTTAAGTGATCTATATTTGCCCACATCATTCTTCAGCTAACAGACACTAAGGTCGTGTTTGGCCAATTACACCACAACATTTCACCACCATTTATAACTAACGTCACAAAATTTAAAAAGTAACATCACCATTTGTAAAAAGAAACATCATCATTTTTAATTTCAAATAACATCACTATTTATAAGTAACATTTCACCGCCATTTACATCACACAATCTGAAAAATAACATCACCACATTTAAGTAGCAATTGCACCACTATTTATAAGTAACATTTTACCACCATTTATAAGTAACATCACAGAAGTCTAAAAGTAATATCACATAATCTAAAAAGTAACATCACCATTTGTAATAGGGTAATATCACTATTTAAATGGTGATGATGTTACTTTTTAGACTATGTGATATTATTTTTAGACTTCTGTGATGGTACTTATAAATGGTGGTGAAATGTTACTTGGTGCAACTGCCAAACACACTCTTAATGTCTGTTAAGTGAAGTAAAATGTAACCAAACTAAGGCCACTTACCGCTCACTTTAAAAAACAGCATGGGAAAGTCACAACAGGTGATTCGCGCCCATTGCTAGACTGCCCACGTCCCTATCGTATTGAATGATCGGCTAACCCCTCCCTAGTTCCACTAGTTGACCCTAACCATTGACCCATTATGTCGTTGAGTGTTCGATTAGTTGACCCTGACCATTGACCCATTCCATCGTTTAGTGCAACCCAGGGAGTGACTTACATGTTCTACAAGTCCTGTACAAATTTAACAACAGGCAGAGTGCACAAAAAATCGGTTGAATGAGTAAATTGAATTGGACCAAATTATATTGTTCGGTATAGATTTATTTTTTTCAAGATTCGGTCCGATTCTAATCCTTAAAACATGAAATCGTTTACAATTGTTAAATTTTAGTTCGAGATCCTATATGACCAACAAATGTGTTACTAGTTACAATCACTTGGAAACTGCAGTCCCAAATGACAAAGGCTCTTGACCAAACCAGTAGTATGATAGAAAAATCGTATTATTACAAATGGTTTCCTATTCCTCCCCACACGGAGGACATGTAACATGCTCCATCCGTGCACGGCCCATGAAGGGCTTAATGGGGTAGCCCATACCCGTCCCATTGAATTTTTTCTATTTACAAAATTACTTAAATCTTATGAAAATTTTTAAAATATACCTACTGTTTTTGAAAAAATTGTTAAGCATACCGCCACCCAAAATTCTAATGACATCCCAACACATATTGTTGTTGTTTAAGACCGTTCCCCTCATATAATTTTCTAGACCCGCCGGGAGAGTCCATCAAACACCTTTTATTCAATTTTGAAAAAACTGAAAATTTTTCTTACCAACACTGAAGGAAAAATAAGCTACCAAATTAAATTGGGATGGTTCTGCAAGTTGGTCAGTTTGCCCTACCCCACTATAACATTATTGGCTTTTTCTTTTTTTCCACCAATATTTGTATACCATATATTCCCCTTCAAAACTCATGCATGTCAAACTGCAATCATTAGCTGATATATTAAATTTTTTATTAGAGCGTTTAAATTTTTTTATTGAACTAAACACGTTTATTCTTAAAGGAAATCAAGGCCCTATTTGGTTCTTTACTAAAAATAAATAAATAAATAACAAAAAATAAAAAATTATACAAACATTCTATAATTCTATTTAGTTCAATTTTTTGAAAATTAATATTTAGAATTGTCTTACATAGTTCTTTAAAAGCACTTTTCAAATTTATAAATTATTATAAATTATTTTTTAAATGACAAATCTATCTTAAAATTTTAAATACTTAAATTCAAACTCTAAAAATTTTCAATTTTGTCAAATCAAGTTGATAACAAAACGTGTGGACATTACTTAGCAAGAAAAAAGAAAAGAAAAGAAAGAAACCCAAAAAAACACCGCGTGGATCAGAGTTGAAAATGGGATAATGGCATTTCAGTAATAAAATACATTCGGAATGGCAATTTGGTCAGAAAGTTCGCCCCTACCAACCAACTATGACAAAATCCATGTAGGACAAAACAAAATAAGAAACCTCCTCTCTCTCTCTCTCTCTCTCTCTCTCTCTCTCTCTACTTTTTGTAAGTTGGTAACATTCGCTGTTACAGTGTCGTTCTATCTATGTCTTTTCACCGTAGTGGAATACAAACTTGTCTAAAAGAACGAGTTTTCTGTCGACTCAGATTGGAATCTGGGAAAATCCGCTTCATTTCCGACTACCCATTTGAGATTTTGACCGACCCAGATCGATTACGAGACCGATTGATCAGAAAACAACGATTTGGCAATGACCCATCACCAAGTGTGAGCGAACTCGGAAGGTGTGTGATTTTGTAGAAAAGGAAAAAGAAAATGAAATGATGGTGATATAGAAATGCAAATCTTGTCCGGAAATCAGATTCATGGGTACTTGTTTCAGTTGTGGAGAAGAAAAGGAACAAAAACTCCATTACCACAAACCAGTAGACAACAAGCCAGGTATTTCTTCTGTTTCTTTGTGTGTGTGGGTGTGTGTGTGTTTTGCTATATGTTTACACTTATGGGTGATGGATTCTGAATGTGGCTCCTACTTTAATGTGTTTATGATTTTTGAATCTTAGACGGACAAAATACTAGTACATAGGTATTGTTATGGTTTATCTCAATTGCCTTTATATATAAAGGAAATTTGGGAACTCTAGTTAAGATAAATTAACAATGTTGTTCAATTGGAAAATTTGTTGGAGATTATGGCTAAATAAAAAAGCATCTTCATTGTTTGAAATTTTGTTTAAAAGAATTAATTTCTATCAATTCATAATTATACACCATTCAATTGCCTTTTCTATAAATGATAAAGCCTAAATAAATTGAGATTGTTAAACAAAGTTTTGAAAAATTTTAATCCATGAATTACCCTGATTTTTTAGGAGAGAGTGTTTTTAAGAATTTCATATGAGTAGTCAGCCACATGAATTACCTTTTTTCATTATTTTCTATTACAAGTCATCTCACTTATTATATTTAACTTTTTAAAATAATTTATTATAAATGCATTGTTCTTGCGTATGTTTTAAAAAACCAACACTCTGTTCCATATAAAATAGTCGGCCTAATAATTCTTTTTATTGAATTTCCCTTTTAACTTATTTGTTATAGTTTTATCGCATAAACTGTCACCAGCATGTTTCTGTTTTGTCCACCCTGATTCAATTCTACTAGTTATATTACTATCTGTCTCTTCATTCTTTTGTATTATTGATCTTTTGTACAAACTTTCATGTTATGACTGATAATTAATTCCTCTAGTAATACTATAATATTTTATATTTGTTTATCCCCTGTATTATTGTAAATTGGTACTATTGTCCTTTTCCTCCTCTCATTTGGCATTATGCATTCTTTTAGATTTTCATTGAACAAGTTTGTTAGCCACTCAATTTTACTTTTTCATTAGTTCACCATGCCTCTATAGTTATGTTACCATTTTTAACTCCAATTCAATTCCCTTCCTTTGACATTTGTTCTCTAGAAATTACGTCCTTGCTACCTTTGCATTCTTTTCGACATTTCTTCGCTTTCTTATATTTAAATCCTTTAACTAATAAGTTTAAAATTAGTATATAATCAGTTTTGAGATCCGTACATTCCAACACAATTGATTAAACTAATAAACCAGATGATAAATATACAAGAATTTCAGTTTGAAGGCTACAAACAAAAAAACAAATTGAATGCACCCGTGTTTTTAAGATACTTTAGCTAAATGATATTAGAATTCATTACTGACCTCTATTATTTTTGAAAATTTGAGTTCATATAGGCAATGCGGCTGCAACATCTCCTACAAAAGCAAATTCTACATTCCCAGAAAAATTAGATACACCAGAGTCACATGGGATTAAAAGTGCAAGCAGCATCTTGGTGATCCCCAAAAATGTGAGGGATCTCCGCCAAAAATCTGGATATAGTAATGTTGATATCTTTACGTATGAAGAAATGACGCTGGCCACAAAGCACTTTCGGCCTGATCAAGTTCTTGGTGACGGTGGGTTTGGGATGGTCTATAAAGGAGTTATAGACGAGAGTGTGAGGCCAGGTTACAAGACCACAAGAGTTGCCATTAAGGAGCTCAATCCCGAAGGGTTCCAAGGTGACAGAGAATGGCTGGTATTTGCCTCGACGTATCTGTGTTTCTTACAGTTTATTCATTATCTTCTTAAATGATATTTTACATTTTCACTAACTATAGGCATGAAAGATTGTTAGGATCGAGAATTTATTAATGCACAAGGTAGTAGAAATATCTAGGTGGTGCATTGTAGAGTAATGATAAATCCTTATGATATTTGATCACATACTAGATTGGAAAAAGATGGTTTATAAAGGCAATTCAGCTACTTAAGAGTTAATAAAACTGCTTTGAACGTTCAATCTCCTAACACCATTGAGTTTATTGGGGTTTCTAAAGTGACCTTATCTCTATCCAACTATCCGTTCTCTGTTTTTCCCTGAAAAACGGGGTTGCAACTTGGGCAAGTTGGACTGGTTGTGGGATCAACTTAGACTTAAGCCAAGGTTCAAAACCTTCAACCAAAGCCCAAAACAGTCAAATTTTACACTCAGATTGAGCTTGGGTTAGAAAAATCAGGCTTAAAATTGTACTAACTTCAGTTAGTCTCGGGTTTGGTTACTCTTACACATAAAAAATCCAAACAACTGAACGAAATATATAAAAAATTGTGAACGAGCTAACCAAAAAAGAATGATAATAATAATAATGTGAACAAATTCTCATAAAATTTATTTTCCAACGGATTTAATACAATAAAGCAAGATTTAAAGTAAAAAATAAAGAATACATTGAAAAGAAAAGTTTTTATAAGTTTTATAAAATATAAATAATATATTTAAAATTTAAATTATTAACATATAAAAGTCAGGTTAATATTTGAGTTCAGGTTGGTTTAGTTTGTCGTCAATTCAACCCATGTCTAAACCTAATCGTAGATATGGTTAAGATTTTTCTATCCAAGCCCTACTTCAATTCTAGAAAACCACTTGAAGAAAGCCACCTTACTAGGAATCGAAGTCTAGTTTTATGCTTCATTAACAAAAACAAGTTGTCATGGGGAATGAAGTTGAATGGAATAGCATAAAATGCCATGAGAAAGAGTCTTGGGGTTTTATTAGGAAATTAACCTTTGCAGACATTATTTAAGCATATGCTACGTATGTATATTACAAGCATGGTTTGTGACATATATAAAAGGAGGAATTAGAGAATATAAAAGAACAGGTACTGAGGTTATACTAGAGAACACTATGAAGTTATCTAGCTTGAAAGTCATAGCAGACACAATTACGATGGAGATCTATCTAGAGCAAGGAATATCCAGCTGTGAACTTACTAATACATGTCAGTACCAATTTTTGTTTCAGTAGTAGTTAGTTGGAGTATTTGCTTGTACAAATTTCTACAAGGAATTCATTTAGCTGTTATTGTTTGCATGTTGCTTGAGACGACCCCCTTGGATCTCCGTTTTAAGTTGTGTAAATAATACTCAAGTTTTTGGTATATAGTAAAATTCATTTACCAACTAAAAGAATAAATAAATAAAGTGGTCAGTTGGCTGTGCTACATGGACATTGCTGTAAAAATACAGTACCAATTCAGCTTGTTTTCTATGCACTTGGAGAAATAAGAAAAGAGGGCACTTTGTTGTTTGTATTTACTATTGCATTGTTTGTTTGCAGGCAGAAGTAAATTATTTAGGGCAGCTCCATCACCCCAATCTCGTGAAGCTCATTGGGTACTGCTGTGAGGATGATCATCGGCTGTTGGTTTATGAATATATGGCTTCTGGGAGCTTGGATAAGCACCTCTTTCGCAGTGAGTTTCTAATACTATTTTGAAGCTACATGACTTGATAAAAGAATGGTTTTTAGTGTCAAGCAACTCCAAGCAGATCTTACTTTTATCAAGAATTGAACTGATTTTGTTGATTAAAGTAGAGAGGAATACAAAAAAATGATGATAATCTTTCACGCTAGGAAAGAACATAAACACAAAGGCACCTGTTTATAAAAGAGAAAATACAAAAAAAGCCAGCATCCAACAAGATATACACCCTTCCCACCCCACAACTTCCTTGAAGAACACTACAGAAGGGTAGAAGTGCTCCCGAACAGCAACTCCAGCAAACCTTAGGAAATATTTTTAATAGGAAGTACTTAATGAAATAATTAAGCTACATGGATTGCCAAGGAAATTCAATTTTATAAGAATCAATCCCTGTGAAACTTAAAACTTTATCATCATTTATAGTTCAATTCATGAAATATTAAAGAAGTACTACTACTTATCAAAAAAAATATATTAAAGAAGTACTACATTTTGAAATGTGGAAATTTAATTAATCTTCCTCATTTTGACCCCCTCTTGACATTTGTTAGTTAGTCATCATCGTTATGCCTGCTAAGTTTTTTGAGTTGAAGCCCTCTTTTTCTCTGAAAAATATCCCCCTAAAGAAAAAAGGGAAATGGACATAGTGTGAGGATGGTTCTAACTGTGCAACACCGTGCTGTTAAATCTGCTTCCCTTTTATTGGATAAAAATGGTGGGAATAACATCCACCCAATTTTTTAACAGAACTTTTTCTCTCTCTCTCTCTCTCTCTCTCTCTCTCTCTCTTTTCCCTAAAATAATTTTAAGAATTACTCTTTTTTAGTGAATATGACCACCAAAAAAATTTTGAACTCCAAATCACATGAACTGAGTAACACTTGTTCCAAGGTAGCCCATTGGAATGAAGTTTATTGGGGATATGACTTTGTTGGAGACAAGAGGAACCAAGTAAATAACTCTTTATATTAAAGAGTAAGATAATGTGTTTTTTGCAAGTAAAGTTTTTGCTGCCCCTATATACGTCATTCAATAGCAAAAAAGGAAAGAAAAGAAAGAAACTTGCAAAAAAAAATAATTTTTTATGCTGGAAATACTGAAGTGCTTACTTTTCTAAACAATTTAGGCCACTCAGACTAATTTATCTGGTAAAATAAAATAAATTCTTTTATACTATTCATCCTATTTATACTCTGTGTTGGTAGGAGTGTGTGTCACACTAACTTGGTCAAAAAGAATGAAGATTGCTTTGAATGTTGCGAAAGGGCTAGCTTTTCTTCATGGTGCTGAAAGACCAATCATATATCGAGATTTCAAGACATCAAACATCTTGCTGGATGCGGTTAGTTGTCTCCCAATGTCATATTTTAGACCTTTCTAGTACATCATTTTTTCTTTTCTTTTTAAGGAGTAATTTTAAGATTCTATGAGATTTGGAGAGCTAATTATGAATGTGCTAAAAGTTTTTTCCCACTTATCAAAAAAAAAAAAAATTATGAATGTGCTAAAAGTTTTTTCCCACTTATCAAAAAAAAAAAAATTATGAATGTGGTAAAAGTTTTTTCCCCTTCAGAGCAAAAAGATGCCGATTTTGTTCCCTTCGATAGCTACTTAGTTTCCTTGTACTACTAGACCCTTGAACCATAAAATTGTTTAGAGAACAGTCTTGAGAAGATGGAAGATACTTACTTGACACAAGACGGGCTCTGTAGTACCTTCTATTGGAAATGTTTTACCAACAGATAATGAATGTCTTCTTTCTGAAAATGTTATTGATGTTGAAGCTTTCATGAATTGAATGATATCTTGGGAATTTGTTTCGTTGTAATGCTGAGAGTATGAGTAATTACCTGCAGGAATTTAATGCAAAGCTTTCTGACTTTGGGCTTGCAAAGGATGGGCCTATGGGAGACCAGACCCATGTATCAACACGAGTTATGGGCACTTATGGATATGCCGCTCCCGAGTATGTAATGACTGGTGCGTCATGTGGTAGTAAATTGAAATTGATTAAATGATATTGAAAATATCAGTACTTGACATAGCTACATTCTTTGCTTACCTTTACTTAGTAAAGAAAGAAACAATATATAGTTTCAAACTCATAAATGTGTTATTTTCACAGTTGTAACACAAATGACTGTTTTATGCAATATGCTTTTGTAACTTCATTTTTGAGTTTTTCAATTAGCATGCAGGGGCTTATATCATTGTTGGCTCTTGAGGAGTGTGGACTGAAAATTATAAATAATAATAATTAAATTAAATTAAAAAATTGAAAAAATAAAACAATTAAGGGCCATACATAATGTCCATCTATTAATCGAGGGTGTTGAGAGGGGTGGAGTGGGTTTAGACCTAGCATTTGGCACTCCTTGTACAAAGTGGCTGCCCTCATATTTGAACAAGTGTTTTCATGCTTGGCAGCCTGAGTTTTAACCACCACAACAAGTAGTGGGTTTTATAAAAATATCTTCTCATGATAAAATAATAATAATAATAATATTAATATTAATGAAGAAAAATAATCTGTTAGCCTGTTGTTTGGTTGTGTGAAAAGTTGAGAATAGTTTTTTTATTATTATTTAACTAACCAAGTCATCTCCAAAGAGGAATGAGAACGCTAGAATTTTTATCCTCTCTGCTCTATCTTCTTTGCATAACAGCATCAGAATTCCATTTTTTCTGTCCCCTTTCCCTCTGTACCATTCTCTCTATTATTGTATCTTTCTCAAAATTCTCTTTAGCTTGAGCTAGTTGTTAATATCTGATTGAAGTTAAAATGTTTTAATGTTCAAACTATATGTTTTTTCATCCCAACCGTAAGAAATATCATGGAAGGAATAACAACCTTTGTACTGCTAATATCAAGTCATACAAAAGTGGCATGTAGTTTTTGTACTGCTAATATCCTCATACAACAATGACATGTAGTTTTTCTTGTATATTAATTTTCAGGCAATTGTTTGAGTTGTTTATATGTAATAAGTATTATAACTGTAATTAGTGATTGTTGACAACTGAATTATTATCATTGTTTTTTATCTGGTCAGGGCATTTAACTGCTAGAAGTGATGTTTATGGTTTTGGGGTGGTGTTACTTGAGATGCTAGTTGGAAGGAGAGCAATGGACAAGAGTAGGCCCAGCCGAGAGCATAACTTGGTCGAGTGGGCTCGCCCACTCCTGAACCATAGTAAGAAGCTTATGAGGATTTTAGACCCTAGAATGGAAGGGCAGTACTCATCGAAAACTGCCATAAAGGTGGCTAATTTAGCATACCAATGCCTCAGCCAAAATCCAAAAGGGAGGCCTGTTATGAGCCAGGTGGTCGAAATACTCGAGACTCTTCCGAGTCACGAGGATAGCCGAGAAGAGGTAATGCTTAGGAATGGAGCTGGTAGTGTAACCCTTTTCGAAGTCCCCAAGGGCATACCTGAAACACGAACAGAGAAGAAGAGATGCCGGATTACAAGTGACACTGCAAGAGAAGGTGAGGCTCCTCGAAGGAGCAAGAGTGAGCTTCCAAAGGAGTGCCATTTCTATAGCCCTTCTCCGATCGAGCCCATTGAGAGATCAGCTTCTACTACAAGTTGAGCTCAGACATCAAATGTGAATGGAAAGTGAACTTGTATGAGATCTGTCAACTACTCTCTGTATTAGTAGTATATTTGTTATATCTAATTGTTTTCCCCCTTGGGAGAACTCTTTCTTTTGCTATCAATGTTCAGAGGAACTTGTTTTGAAATGATTAAGTGACTACAAATCTTTACTCTATCCTAGCCTAGATTTTCTTTCATCTGCAATCATACAAAACTTTGCTTGAGACAAATCTAGTCAAAACCCTGTTGAGTGAATTGCTAATTCAATATGGTCGGTTGTATCAAAGCAGTAAAAATCACCTAGGCAATGCTTAAAAAAACTATAATTTGTATGATCTATATATATTTTTTAATTGGGTAATTAGATCTATATTTTTTGGCCAATAGGATATATCTGTCAAACATTTTTAATCAATTAACATTTTGACTTTCCAGTTGGTACTGGTGGAGATACCAATAGGCTAAGCCCTTGGTATTTTATTATTATTTGCATTCAAATTCTTAAAGAGGATATTGAGAGATTCTTATTTATTATTATTTTTTTTTCTAGAAAGAAAGCAAGTAATTTCTAATGGAAGTTCGTTTCTCCTTTTTTTTTTTTTTTCAAATAAATAAATAATTATATACACACACACACACAGAGAATACGGGAAAGGACTCTCATATAGTAGTTTTGACTAGTAAGCAATTAGTTTTCAAAAATACATTGAGAATTCATAATAGGGACAGGGTAGGATTTAGGGAATTAGACAGAGAGAACTCCTCTCTGTAGCATTCATAATTAATTTGACGTTAGTATTACTCTGACACACAATTGCATTAATAGTAAATTTATGAAATTAATTTTAGGCTAACTCATTTTGCACCGATAGTCAAAATTTCTATATGATATACTTTTTATGAGATGGTCCAAGTTTTTCAGTTTACTGGGATATATAAGATGTAATGCTAGGTTACGTTATTAATGAAAATTCTAATTGTTTACTTGCACTTTTAAAAAATAATATGGTTAAGTTTGTTTCTGTTTGTTTTGTAGGTACACCTCTTAGAAAAGAAAAAAACTCAATGACATGAGCAGTGTCGGAAAAAATAGTTTCGAGGTACCCGTTTTTTTCATATGAATCATATGTTATACTTTTGTTAATTAAGATGTGTGATAAAATTGAAGTTTTTGTTATTCAAATTAGTGCAAAATTTAACTCACCAAGAACTTAAGAGGAGCATCCTCAACAAAAGGATCCACTCATGGTTAACTTATCCCTCGACAAACTAGCAGCTACGTTATGTTATTAAGAGATTTTTATTAATTAACAGATTATAACCATGTTTTTTAAAATGTAAGAGAAAATATTAAATACTCGTCCTTGTATGTGGTGGGACTTACTATCCCATTCATGATCCAATAACTTTCACTGTCCTCTCGAGTGTTCATACTAATCAATTATCATTTCTTTTTTGTTAATGACTGTTTATTCCATTATTTTATCCAATAGAAAAGAGACAAGTGGCGAGTTTCGACAAAGCTTACCATATTGATTTAATGTTCTAGTTGTCCAAAGAAAAGAGGGTGTCACATGGAATTGTTAATGTGGTTCTTTAAATAGAAAAGAGGTACGTGGAACTTGCCATGTTAGGTTATAAATATTTTATGGGAAATTAAAAGACAAGTGGTGAGTTCCTTTAGGACTTGCCAAATTAACGATATAATGTCCTAAAATGAAAAGAAAAATGGCGTGGAGTTATTATCATGATACAATCTCATAAGAAGGTTAAAAGTTAGTTAACCAATAATTTATCAAAACATGGTGAGCTTTATTAAACTTGTCATGATGGATTAATTTTGGAAGATCCTATTTTAGTAGGATACCAATTAAATAAAAGTTGACTAAGTCATGGGGACGTGGAGGCAACCTTCTCCTTATTTTTAGGAGATTTCAAGAGTGGTTCAGCCTAGTCAATTTCTTGCTAAAATTTAGCAAGACGTGGAATTTAATTTATTTCTTTGATATATATATATATATATATATATATATATATATATTAGCTTAAACCCACGATGAAGGAATCACTGTGAAAAGGGAGTCCATGAAGCCATGAGGTCTAAAGCCAGAGGAAGTCAAAGGTGAAGAGAAGTTGCTAAAATTAAGGAAGAGAGCAACAACCATAACCCACGATGTAAACTTGGTGACCATGACGCCATGGAAGGTTCAGCCTAAAATTAAGGAAACCGTGGTCTAATGTGTACAAGTATATTATGGGAAATTACCCACGATGGAGGAGTTGCTAAAATTAAGGAGGTCATGGCACTATGAACTCCAAACTTTAGAAGGAAAGTCTCAAAATGGAAATTATGCACGATGAGGAGTTTTATCATAAGTCAGAAGCCACGATGCCATGAAAGGAAGGTTCCTAGTAGAAGTGAAAGATTACTAGAAATCATGGGACACTTGGCTAAACAGGGATATATCGGTTGTAAGTGGTGGAAACCTATAAGGAAACTACCACTAACCAAGGGAAGTTCTCAAGGGTCATGGGTGACAGGGCAGCAGTTGATGAAATCGTGTCTGCAATTAAGGAAAGGAGTTGACGACGTGAGGAAGAAGAATAAAATCATGGAACACTTGCCAAGTCACGAAGAGAACACGTGAGAATTTATTCTGAAACTACCCATGACGCAAAATCGTTGAAGACTAGAGAGGACGTGGTTGAAGTCTACAACAAGAGATGGATAAGATGGGAGAAGTTACAACCGTTAAAGAATCATGGGACATGTGGCAGTTCGGAACCATTCCACGTGGAAGCTGCTGAAGTTGCCACACCTAGTTAATGCATACATGGAAAGCTCTATAAATAGAATACTTAGGCTTCACTTGCAAACCTTGTTCAAATCACACAGCAAAATAGCACTTCAATATCTTTACATTCATCTATCTTTACATTCATGTAATGCACTTTCAATATGTTTAATTCAAGTCCTGCACTTATTATTCCTACTTTCTAACACTTTACTTTGAAGTCTTACACTTTCAATACCGCTTTCCTTTCCACTAGTCATAATTCAGTCCGAAAGTCGTTTTTCAAGGCAAAAAGAACTCTTGAAGGTGGTAATATCCAGTCCTTCATTCAATCGCCTGATCACTGCAATTTCCTACTGGATAGTTGTTCGGATACTCACTTTGAAACGACAACAGTTCCTGGCACGCTCGACATCCACTCCTACTTTCCACTCATCTGGAAAGTAGAACTAGCGCTTTTTCGCGAGCCGAACAATGACGATTGTGAGTTGAGTTTTGAATAATTAATTTTGTTAAACTAGAGGGTGTTCGAAAGTTCTCTTGGAAGGAGGTGACGAATTAAGCAGGACTGGACGTATTTTGGCACGACGGTTTTGTTTTGCTGTTAGTGCTTCTCTCTACATGCTACATGTCCACTGTCTGGTCGAGCTTCTTCATTTCATTCTAGAAGTTTCACTTTTTAAGGCTGCAATTACTTAGTGTGCAACTAAGTAAGATAAATGGTTGAAGTATTCATTTTAAATGTAAGTTTTTACACATACTTTTATTTTATAAAGAGACAAATTATGTTAAAGGTTAAATAGAGGTGGCAAAATTTTATATGATTGGCCAACACGATTCGAAAATGATATGAAATAAAAGAGTTTGGATTTATTTTAAATGGGTTTGGATCATAAACGAATTATTACGATAAATCCATTTAATTAATCGTATCGTGTTATGATTGAGAGATTCAACACGTATAACCCGTTTAACTAAAAGTTTTATTATTGTGTTAATATCACTAATGTAACTCATTACCTATTTGGACCCGATTGCTTAGACAATTAGGTCATTCAATCGTAAATTCTAAAAAAATATGCATTAGCTTAGCTAATGTATATATTTTTATAATATTTATTGTTTGATTGAGTATTATATATAAATAATTTAAATAATATAATGTCTAATTTTGATAAATAGATTATTAAACTGGTTAACACGTCTAACCTATTTAATAAATAAGTCGGATTAGTGTTGAGAATTTTTAACACGATTATTAAATAGGTCGTGTTTGAGTTGACCCTTTCAACAGAATACTCTTAAGTTGACACGATACGAATATGATCCGTAAACATGAATTATCACCCTAAAGATTAAGTATGTCTTTAATTATGTCACATGCACAACAAATAATGACATGGGCAATCTACACGAACGAAATTTCTCTACACCAAGTCTGGGCTTTTAGTAGAATTGTTTTTACTTGTATAGAATAGTATAGAGTAGCCTAGAGTCTGTTTTTTTCTTGGTATAGATTATGAATTCTATGATCCTCATTCTAGAATACTCCCAACTGTTAGATTTTACACCAAGTCTGGCTTTTAGTAGAATTGTTTCCACTTGTATAGAATTTTATAGAGTAGCCTAGAGTCTTTTTTTTCCTGGTATAGATTATGAATTCTATGATCCCCATTCTAGAATACTCCTAACCGTTGGATTTTTGACATCCATTAGATTGTTGATACATGTATAGATCATAGTCACTCGTGGTAAAACCCATTCCCTTATATAAATAGGTGGAATTTAATTTTCTTCTTGTTCACTTGTCTACCACTTACTTTCCTGTCTACCACTTTCTTACTGTACTTAGTTAACAAGTCTTAGTTATTCATCATGCGCACAAAACAGAAAAATTTACTATCCCTTAATATTTCTCTTCACCAAAAGTTTGACTAGTTTAAATTCTAAATTTTAAAATTTGGATAATAACTAACATGATAAAATACAATAACACTCTTGAGGTTTGTTATATTGACAATCATATACAAATTTGTTATTTTTTAAAACAATAACACCTCCTGAAGTTTGAAATAATTGACATAGACACATCTCTAATCACATGTCATATATGACACATGAAGAATTGACCAATTTGTCCTTTCACCATTTGGTAGACCTTTTTAACTTTATAATTTAATATATTGGATCAATCTATTCAACGTTAACATTTGATGCAAAAAAGTTGAAGGGCTAAATTAGAGGAAAAATTTGTACAACAATAAATAAAAAATTCATTTGAAATCGAAACAAAGCAAACAAAAATAATTTCAAACGGAACAAACAGAAACGTTTTGGAAAGTGGTCATTTCTCTTTGCGACGGCTTGTTGATCTTCTACC